GACTGCGAGTCGAGCTCCTTAACCACCTGGCCATGCCGGGCCGAGTTTTAAGGTGTTATTGTGTATAGTATTAGCATCCCACTCATATTACACACTTTAAGTGGAAGCCCTACGTCCTTTAGGTACAAAATGTTTGTTGAAGTCTAAATTCCTGTGATAAGAACAATTATTTAAAGTCTAGACTGAATTTATTTTGACCTTGAGTCTGTCGGCTCGTCTTCATTGCCCAATGTGCGTTAACTGACGCTTCTATATTTAAATAAGCCTTCCCAACTGATTTGGTTTAAGTGTTTCCTTGGCCAATGCGCGTTAACTGACGCTTCTATATTTAAATAAACCTTCCCAACTGATTTGGTTTAAGTGTTTCATTGCCCAATGCGCGTTAACTGACGCTTCTATATTTAAATGAAACCTTCCCAACTGATTTGGTTTAAGTGTTTCAGTGCCCAATGCGCGTTAACTGACGCTTCTATATTTAAATGAACCTTCCCAACTGATTTGGTTTAAGTGTTTCAGTGCCCTATGAAAAACTAACTGATTTGGTTTAAGTGTTTCATTGCCCTATGAAAAACTAACTGATTTGGTTTAAGTGTTTCAGTGCCCTATGAAAAACTAACTGATTTGGTTTAAGTGTTTCATTGCCCTATGAAAAACTAACTGATTTGGTTTAAGTGTTTCAGTGCCCTATGAAAAACTATATCGTTCTTTTACCGACCTTCATCGAATTATTTACATTATTAAGTTCAATAAACACCTTAAACTTCCTCAAGAAATATATTTCGATTATCACTGCAATCAAAGTAAGTCCGACTTCTATAAACATACCGATATTGTCTACTTCTCACATCGTGTGATTTTTCCCTGGATTTTAACGAAGCAGTTTATGACAAGTTAACCATTAATAATAAAATAGTGTTGAAACAAGAAAAAAAAACTCTAAGAACTTTTGCTGGAAACTTTAAAAAACTTTAGTTTACCCTTATTATTCAAACCCTTCCTTAGCTTTTAATTAGTTTTCCATATATTATGGTGTTGGCCACCACAATATCATCAATATCTGAAGTAATTTATATTTTAATATTGTAGTAATCACTATAATTATGGTGATCACCAGGTCACCACATATCATCATTACCTTTAGTATGTACATTTTAGTATTATATTGTAATAATCAATGTAATTACGACAGTCACCTCCAGGTAACCACAGTAACATCATTACCCGTGATATGTACATTTTATCAGGTAGTAATCAGTGTAATTACGCTGTAACCATCCCTATGTGCTAATATGTCTACTGCTTCTCTGTGGTAGGTCAAGATTTTTGAACAGTGCGAACATGGATTTCTTTGCGAGCTCGTTTTAAAACTACGGTCCCAGATCTATTCGCCGGGAGACTACATCTGCCGAGCTGGAGAAACAGGTAAGCTACCTTCATGGGTGTTCTAAAACAGCTTATCTCGAATGATTAAACCTTTTAAAAGATGCAACAGTTGGATACTTTTAAACGAGGAATAGAAATTCGTATTCCTCACTCTTATTTGAAATATAAATGTCTTCGTAGGACCTTATAGATATACTGAGGCTAGTCGCACTTTTTCTGATAAATGTCTTCGTAGGACCTTATAGATATACTGAGGCTAGTCGCACTTACTCTGATAAATGTCTTCGTAGGACCTTATAGATATACTGAGGCTAGTCGCACTTACTCTGATAAATGTCTTCGTAGGACCTTATAGATATACTGAGGCTAGTCGCACTTTTTCTGATAAATGTCTTCGTAGGACCTTATAGATATTCTGAGGCTAGTCGCACTTACTTTGATAAATGTCTTCGTAGGACCTTATAGATATGCTGACGCTAGTCGCACTTACTCTGCTAAATGTCTTCGTAGGACCTTATAGGTATACTGAGGCTAGTCGCACTTTTTCTGATAAATGTCTTCGTAGGACCTTATAGATATGCTGACGCTAGTCACACTTACTCTGATAAACGTCTTCGTAGAATCTTAGAGATATGCTGACGCTAGTCGCACTTACTCTGCTAAATGTCTTCGTAGGACCTTATAGATATGCTGACGCTAGTCGCACTTACTCTGCTAAATGTCTTCGTAGGACCTTATAGATATGCTGACGCTAGTCGCACTTA